TGTTGGAGAGTAGCTATTTATCCTGCTATTTTCTTCTGATACTCTTGAATCACTGTTTTGAGAATGGGTTGGAATATGGTGTGTAGAAAATGGATGGCAGAAGGCTTGTTCTTTACAGTGGATTGGAGATACGATGTAAGTCTATCAGGAAGATTAACTAGAGGCTGAATGTGTCATAATTAGAAGATTTTCTAAAGAGAGCTAAGTTTGAACTGCTTTAAGAAAACTGAGCACTTCTAGAGCAGGGTTGTTCCAGATCCTTTCTCTTGATACAATTCCACAGTGTTCCACGCCCTGAAAGAATCAGATCATCTTTGCCTCTCCCTTTGGGTCTCTAGTTCCTGGAATCTGCCAATTCTTGATAGGAACTGTGAGATTTAATGGAGTGCCTGACCTCATTTGGACCATTTGTTTTGAATTCTGAATAGAACCAGGAAAACTGGAAAGGGGAGTCAAATTGGAGTCACAAGAGAAGGATTTTGGTATTATGAAAGAAGGAAGATAGGAAACTTAAATGAATAAGAGGCAATTTTAAAGGAAGATTAGAAAGAAAGGAAAAAACAAGAGAAATCTTGTGCCACTAACTTCTATCAAGATGTTTGGTTGCAACGTAGCCTGTACTTCACATTTTTGTATAAGGAAATGAATACAAGAAAATTTGGGGTTGGAGGCTCATCCCTTGGAAACTGCTAGAAGCCGTTGTTAAGTGATCTGTATTTGACCCAAAGTGCATTTCTGTGTCTCAACATTGCTTGTTTTATAAAGAGTTCAGCTAAGGGAACTCAACTGTGAGTGTGTATTAAGGAGCTCCATGCTAGCATAGGAAAAATCTTGTCTGGTGAATAGTATTATACCCATCTGGAGCAGGAAGGATAGGGATTGTTTTTTGTGGACTAATGCTACAAGACAACTCAATTCTTGCCATGAGTTGGTTGAGACCACCCAAAAAGATATCAATGATTGGAAAAAAGAGACAAAGGGAGAACCATGACTCTTGGGGGAGAGAGAACCAAGGAAAATCAGTGGAATTCAGATAAATCAAGTTCTCTCCAGAGAACAAGGCCAGGGGAAAAATTTTAACTCACTTCAAGAAGAATCTGTACATTTAACCTTTCAGGATACTCTTAGATGCTTTTAACTTATTGAATATCTTTTGTTGGTAAATGTATGATAAATGTGTCTTAGAGGTGAGTTTTTGTCCCAATTGACTATTATAATACTTATAAAATAATCTCCTAAAAGCCCACAAGTAGAATGTAGACTGATGAGGGGGGGAAAATCATGGGTTTTGTCAGAGTTTATAACTTGAAGCTTAACAACAAGGAACAAGAAAAATTTATTAAAATGAACAATTAAAGACTTGGTTGTACTTGAATGTCCGTATTAATTACCTGGGGATCTAGTTAAAATGTTAACATTAATTCATAGATATGGGTGGGGCCTGAGATTCTGCATTTCTGATGAGTTCCAAAAAGATTCAGGTGTCCTTGGTCCTTGACTCACATTTTTTCTATGAAGGACCCATGTAGGTTCTCTTTGGTAGGTTTTGGTAGCCACCTGTGGTTAGAGGTAGCTAAGAGCTGCCTTCTTATCCTCCTTTCGGCTGCCAGGTTATAATGGAAGCAAGTCTCAGAATAAGCTCTGTCACATATGAACATTTATTAGCTAGTGGGCACAAAATAATCTTACAGCCTGCATCAAAGGCATGGTGAAACATCAGTTCTGTCTTTTGTGATGTGAGAAGCTCACAGTCTCCATGGGTCCATTACAGTGGTTCTCAGACGTGTGGTCCCCAGACCAGCAGCAACTGCATGGCCTGGGAATTTGTTAGGAATGCAGATTCTCAGGCCCTCCCCACACCTACTGAATCAGAAAATCTAAGGGTGGGACCTGGGAGATCTGTGTGTTTAAGCCAGCCCTCAGGTGATTCACATGTACACTCAAGTTTGAGAACCATTGATCTCCTAGCAGGATTCTGTCAATCATCTGATTGAATTCAGGCAACCAAGAATCCAATGAATCACAGCAGGATTCATTGGATATTTTGGAATCCAGCTTAGGGCACCATTTGTAAAGATATAGGACCTGCTAGATTCTTAATGTAAAGGTGGTGAATGTTTCTAAATCGTTTTCAGATCCTTGTATTTTGCAAACTACTAACATCATCAACACAAGCTCGTCTAACATTAATTAGGATAATTAATGAAACCCATGGTGTAATAGGAACTAAATATAGCTGAAGCACTTACAGTGGCCGCCTCTGGAGTGAGGCTTTTTGATTAATTGCTAGCCAACCACCCCTAGAGTGTGCATTCCTGATTAAGACAACTGACCACCTCTACAGTGTACCTTTAGCTAACACACTCATACATCATATTGTACTGTCCACGTGAGGGTTTTTTTAAACTCTTAAAATGTACTTTCTTGAGGCATAATTTAAACACCATAAAATGCTTCCATTTTAAGGGTTCAGTTTGAGTTTTGACAAACATATACACTTATGTAACCACCACAGCAATAAAAATATATATTTCAATCACGTAGAAAATACCTTTGTGTTCCTTTGTGGTCAGTGCCCACTCACCCCCACCCTAGACTACCATCCATACTATAGGTGAGTTTTGCACGTTTTACAATTTCATGAAATGGAATACCCGGCTCAGTGTTTTTGTTTTGTTTTGTTTTTATTTTTTTATAGTTGTAGATGGACAGCATGCCTTTATTTGTTTAGTTTTTTTTTTAAATGTGGTTCTAAGGATTGAACCCAGTGCCTCATACATGCTAGCAAGCACTCTGCCATTGAACTACAGCCCCAACCCCTAGCTCAGTATTTTTCAGATCAATTTATATTATTGCCTTATCAGTAGTTACTTCTCTTTTATTGGAGCGCAGTAGCCATTGTACAACTGGACCACAGTTTGTTTATCCATTACCCTATTGGTTTGTTTCCAGTTTGGGATTACTTTGAATAAAATTGCTGTGGACATTAATGTGCACATTTTTTTGGCATTGGGGATTGAACCTAGAGGCACTTAACCACTGAGCCACATTCCCCAGCCCTTTTTAAATTTTATTTAGAGACAGTGTCTCACTAAGTTACTCAGGGCCTTGCTCAGTTGCTGAGGCTGACCTTGAACTTGAGCAATCTTCCTCTCTCAGCTTCCTGAATTGCTGGAATTACAGGCATGTGCCACAGTGCCTGGCTCATCTTTTTGTGGACATGTGATTTATGAACTGATTTTCCAGAGTTGTATTGGTTTACATCCCCCCCCACCAGCTGTGTATGAGAGTTCCAGTTGCTCCATATCCTTGCCATTATTTGGTATTGACAGTCTTTAAAATTTTAAGTTACAGACATTATTTTCTTCCTCCTAATTTAAATTCAGGATTTTATGTTTGGTTTCTGCGAAAGCCATAAAGCTAATAATGTTGACCTAAGTGACTTGGATATGGATTAAATTATTGCCCTTTCCTAACAACCCATTAGAATCGTTTTTATGGGTGCCATTTGATGATGGCATTTAGTCATGTTTGTCAGTATATTTTCTTTCATTCTTTGGTGTATTTATTCATTCAATCAGTCCCCTAGTTGTATTAGACTTGCTTTTTCAGAGACCAGTTGTATATGAAGTTGCTGGGAAATATGACATAAATAGGTGAAAGACTTCTTATCTTCAAGGAGCTTTTGGGACCTATGTTTCTGAAACACACATGAACAAAAACACTAGAAAACAACTGTATCCCAGTGTATATCAAGATTTGGACAAACTTGGGGTTGGGATTGTGGCTCAGTGGTAGAACACTTACCTAGCAGGTGTGAGGCACTGGGTTCCATTCTCAGCACCACATATAAATAAATAAAGATCCATCAACAACTAATAAATTAAAAAAAAATTTGTGCAAACTTGAATAAGAGCACCAGCTGAATTTCAGTAGGTTCCTGCTAGGTGGGTTGGGGGCTTGATAGACAGATGACTATAGAAAACAGTAGAATAAGTGTAGAATAAGGATCTGTAGCTCAGTGGCATAGTACTTGACTATAGTATTCAAGGCTCTGGTTTCAATCTTCAGAACCTCAAATGAAACTGGTAGAAAAAATTATTGTTACTTTATGCTGCATATTAGAATGATTGATCGCACCTTAGAATAATAAAGTGAGTTGTTGGTCAAAAAATACAAAATGACTGTTAACAGGAATAAGTTCAGGAAATCTTTTCTTCACTATAGTGACTATAGCTAATGGGAGTATATTGTATTTGTGAAAAATGCTTAGAGAATGGATGTTAAGTTTTCTTACCACAAAATGATAACTGCATTAGGTAATACATGTTAATCAGCTAGATTTAAAACTATTCTATGTATATAGACACCTCAAAACATCATGTTGTATTATATGTGATAAACATATAATTCGTTGTCAATTAAAAAATTATTTTTACAGATACACACAGGTTAAAAATGTTCAAAATGTTACCATTGGATGATTTTAATACAGTTTTATATTTTCTCATAATCTTTACATTTTCTACAGTGAGCATATATAACTTTTATAACCACAAGAGTTGTTATTTTACTACTTGTTTACTAAGTTCTTATAGCTATTTCATTAACGTATTCCATGTTCTCTTTAATCTTGGGCAGCAGAGATTCACTATAGTAGATCCAGATTACAGTCTTGAAAGAAAGATAATGTCTGTCCTTCTTTTTCCTCTTGGGAACAAGGACTACCTGAATGACTCTGTAGGCTCTGCCACTGTCATCTGTCACAGAACTTAGTTTTCCTGATTTTCAAAGAGCGAAGGTTTTTTTTTTTTTTTTTTCTTTCCCTTTACCCCAACAATTTGACCTTCCAAAGCTTGGAGCATAGATACAAGATTTTTTTTTTTTTTTTTTTTTTTGCTAGCCTATTTTTGTGGTTGTTGGCAAATCATTGGGGATTTTGGCCTGTGCTTTCTGATGAAATAACAAACAATCATTGTTTCCCCCCTTTTTTTCTTCAGCTGATCTGAATAATGTCAGGTTCTCAGCTTATAGGACTGCCATGAAACTCCGAAGACTGCAGAAGGCCCTTTGTTGTAAGTATTATCCAGTACTTGAAGATTTTGATAATTTTTCTTTGCTTAAAAAATAAAGTGGACTGGAAGTATTTTCACTTGGACAGGGCTGATACAGCTTTCACAAGTCTTATGCAACATAGCATTCATTCTTTATAGTATCTTTGGCCTAGTGTTTATCTAGACCACTTTGTTGTATTTAGAATTATTCCCATGAATAGTCCTTAGCTCCTGATGTTGATAATATATTGATAATTTTAATATTCCAGTTAATAGCATTGGTATCCATAATTATCTATATGAAACTCACATTATTTCCCCTTTCTATCTTTTGTTTCTTCTTACAAAGGGCATTTAGTATTAGAAGTTGATGACGATCTTATCCAAATCAAGTTCACAGATGTGTATGGTTTATTGGATTGAATGTTAATGTACCAATGAATGCTGTAGTTAGGAAAAAAGAATGGATTGCTTTTTGGTGCTTTTTATCATATATTTTTTGAGAAATCCTGAAGGGTTATAGTTTAGTGTATTTCTTTGTTGTCAACAAAGTGAATTATGGTGTAATATTGTTTATCTATATACATTGATGATATGCCAGTGAAACTGATGGGCACAGCCCCCACCATAAAGGTATTTACAATCTAATGATGGATACCAAGATGTCTATAAAATCTGGAGATATAGACAGATGTTCGTATAAAGTCATCAAGAATGTCCACGATTGGTAAAAACTCTAGGTGATGTTGTCTCTATTTTCAGGCTTGGTGGGCACTAAGGAAAAGTGCAGAGACAGTTTCAATATCATGTATTTAGTTGTGTGACAGTGGAAGAATGGGGTATCGTGAGAACAGCTAGCTGTGTGGAGTGAGGTTCAGAGAAAGTTTGGTTGAAGAGGTGATATCTAAGCTAGGTGAGTTCAGAAGGGTAAGTAGAGCTCACTCTAGGAAGAATGTTCTAGTCAGAAGGAAGATTATGATCCAAGGTGTGGAGCCCAAAGAAAGCATGATGCATTTAGGAACAGAAAATACTCCATCATGGCTAAAGCACAGAATTCCAAGGAGGGCTATTGTGAAATCTTAGGCTGGAGAGAGAAGCTGGAGGCAGATTGTGAAAGGCTTTTCAAACCCAAGTTAAAGAATTTAGAGGTCAGTGGGGAGCCATTCAAGACATTTTGGCAAGAGGATGACATGATTGGATTTTCATTTAGAAAAATCGTTCTGGCTGTGAAACAAACCAGATTGTATTGAAGGGTTGTGCAGCTGACAGAATAGAGACCTGTTGCAGAAATCAAAACCCGCAATATGGTGGCCTGAATTAGCCAAGAAGAATGGAGACAAGTGGACAGAATTTAGAAATACTTAGGAGGTGGATTTGATAGACCTAAGTGATTTATTTGATGTGGTGAGTGAAGGGTATCAAGGAAGATGCTTAGGTTCCTGGCTTGGGCTACCAGGCAAATGTAGATGCTGCATGTAGATGCTGCTTATAATCAACTATAGGGAGGATGAGATGACCCAGAGTGTTGAGAGAGAAGAGTTATTTGGAAGAGAGGATAAGCAACCTACAAAAAGGACTACAAGGAATGACCAACAGAAGAGAAGGAAAATCCCAAGAGGTGGTAGTGCCACTGTATGGGAAGAAAGAAGGGAACTTTCAGTAGGGTGAGAAGTTGCTCAGATGTTAGGATGAAGTTGGGGATAATACCCATTGGATTTAGAACTGAAGAGGTCCTTAGTAACTTTGTGATTTTTAGAGGCATGGTGGAGGTGATGCATGAAGGCAAAAGCAGATCAAAAGTGGGAATGTAGAGATGGTAGGTATGGACAGTTCCTGGAGAAATTTAATTGTGAAGCAGAAGGAAGATGAGGATAACTAGCTGAAAGGAGCTAAGGAATTACTGAGACACTTGAGTGTATTTATAGGAATATGAGAAGAGAACATGGTGAGGTTAAACTCACTGGCTCAAGAGGAGACAGTAAAAAATATGCATTCTCAAAGGATATGGGCAAGTAGGTGACCTAGAGCTTGAGACTGGGGAGAGTACCTCCTTTCCACTATAATGGGTGGGATAGAGGAAAGGACATGTGCAGGTCCAAGTAACTAAGAAGCTTGGTAGCAGGCAGGTGAGGGATGCCCATCTAAAGCCATGTGCTTTCTATATGGAGTTGGAGGAGAGTCCCTGTGATTCACTTCAGCATGGAAGGTGATAAAATGAGTTTGAGTCTATCTTTGTGGAGAATAAGAGAGAGGGTTGAGTTAAAAACCAGCATTATGACATGTGGAGTTAGTTAAGGGATTTATAACGGTACCAATCTACAGGGGTGCCATGTTTCTTCAGGTGCTTGTAGCAGTCAGAAGCCAAATACTTCTGTCCTGGGGTAAAGGGCAGATGTGTGAGAGAAGTGAGGATTTAGGCAAAAGATGGGTTAGAATGCTGTCAAGTCTGTGTTGGGTAGGAGAAGCTGTGAATTCAGGTGGAAGCTACTATTTAGGAGGGTGAGGAATCAAGAGGCTGACTGTTCAGGGGAGGCAGAGGAAGAAATAGTGAAAGTGGAAGAGTTCCAGGTGATTGATAAGGTCTAGGATATGACCATTTGAGTAGGTAACAGAGGTATGAGTAGGATAGGTGTAGATTTCCATGGAAATGAAATCAGAAGTTAAGGAACTGAGAGGCTGCATGCAGTACCCGGGCCAGTGTTGAAATCATCCAGAATTGGGGCCAGAACTGGAAAAGAGAGAAGGACCATGAATCTTTACCACCAATGCTTCAGGAATGGAGGGGTTTCAATTAGGGAAACATTTAGAGGCTAATGATAAAATAGTCAAAGAGTTGCTGGCATATGGTTCTTTCGTAGACATGGAAATTTCCAAGAAGTAGAATTTTCTAGAAGAGAGGATAAGCCTTTCTTTTTCATTTTGGTATGCCCAGTACTTAGCACGAGCCTTAGCACCAAGCCTGGCACAGAGTAGGGTTCGATATGTTGTCATGGAAGGAATGCATTAATGAAAGTCAACTGAGTCTTCCATTTCCTCATAGCACACAGCCTGAAGTTATTGTTTTTTCAGCTATACAGCTGCCAAGTTCAAGTGGTGTTTTTTATTTTTTACTTTTTTTGGGGGGGTACCTGAGATTGAGTCCAGGGGTACTTAACCACTGAGCCACATTTACTGCCCTTTATTTTACTTTATTTTTTTTTAAATTTTGAGACAGGGTCTCCCTCAATTGCTGAGACTGGCTTGTGGTTTTCCTGTCTCAGCCTCACTGGGATTACAGGTGTGCTCCACTACCTTAGGTTTAAAAACCTAAGGTGGTTTTTAAAAGGATCCTCAGGGTTTAGGATTTACTTAGGGACCTGTTAGTGTACCTTATCAGGGACAAAGCAGTTTGGGGTAGGGTGGAGTAAAAGGGCTGGATGGAGAAAGTTATCTTCCTTTTTTTTTTTCTTCACCTGACCCTGCCCTATCTCAGACATACTGCTTTCCTTTGATAAAAGGGGAATTATGAACTGGTTATTATAAAGTACTGTAGAATATTTCTGTAAGATCCTAGGATTCAAAAGAGATAACCAGCTGTTCCAGGTTATACTATGAAAAAGCTCAGAAATAGACTAGATGGAAACGTCTATAATGTTTTATGATTGCCCCTTTCTATAGTGTTCCTTTTGACCCTGATGCATTATTCCATTTTCCTGCCAAAAAAAATATTCTATTTGCTTACGTGTTTTATTACCTATCATTTCAAGTTATGTTAACATTTCGGATAAACATTGGAGAAATTATGGAATTTAATATTGTAAAAATGGTTGCCCATTCAAGGTGAGAACCTTGTAATAAGGTTAAGCTCTGAATGTAGAATGATTGCTCTAAGTTTTCACTTTTTAACAGATTTGAAGTTTTCAGCATTTCCTTTTGCAGTATAACTTTTTCCTATTTGAAAAAATTCAAGGATAACAAAATTAGAGTGTATTTATCTAAATTAGGTACTGAGTTCTCAAGAATGCAAGAAGGGTGTTATGCGTCATGCTATATTAAAAATGCAGAGTGAAGAGTTCCCCAATCCTTTTATTTTTTAAAACATGTGAGGTCATATTACTTGGTAACTTTGCAGTAGGTGATTTAGGAATTTCCTCTTAATTTTATATTTGCTTAGGTTTATCTTCCAGCCTTTTGTCATTTCTATGCCTGCAAAGCCATGATAAAGAGCTGTTGTCTGTAGTATAGGCAAATGAAACTTGCCCTGCCTAGCTTTTCCTACCAAGGTCTCTTCTACTAACTCTTACTCTAATGGAAATTAATGATGTTATCTCAGTGATTTCCTGATGCCAGGGAAGAGTTTGAATTATAGATTCCTTAGAAAATATCCACTGCCACCTCTATTAAGCACTTGATCTTACTTTTTTTTTCATTTCCCTAGCAGAATACTGAATAACACAATTTTATCCACTATAGAGAATTTGCTACTTAACTCAGGAGCATCACCATTGGCCTATAATGTCCCCAGTTGGTAATTGGTTTAATGTTGCATGACTCTATAGTGTCTTTCAGTGCATTGTGAATGAAAATTGAACTTGATAGCAGAGACAAAGAGAAAATCTCAGTAAGAAGGATTTATAAGCTGGTTCATATAGTTGATACCCTGGTGAAAATTATGAAAAAAGATAATCTAAGCTTTTTCTTTCTCCTTCTGTGGTTCTTATGACATTCCATAAGTGTGTGGCTTCTAAAATTAAAAATATAGCCAACTACTAAGAGCAGAAGTTAAAATGTACTTATCAAAGCAAGTATATTTAGTTTATTAGTGTGTGTGGGGTTGGAAAGAGCCCAAACCATAGGGCTAAATATACTACAGTTGATAAATGTGACAAATATTCTGCAAACAACAAGAAATTGAGAATAATTTGCCTTTGTTCAGCAACCAAGTCATATATGATAGCGATTTAGTGCCTGCGATAACCTAAATAAAGCCAAAACTTCTGGACCCCCTCTCACCACGACAACCCAGGTGCCCCTTTCTCTGT